TCCGCGCCGCGCCTCGCCTCGCTGCATTTTACGTGGCCGCCACTCGCCTCGATTTGCTCCAATACCGTTTTTCGGTTTCAATCATGTGCTAATGCCGTTGCTGAAGATGCATTGTCATATTTCGGTGGTGAAATTTTGATATTTAATGTTACATAAGAATTGAATCTATATATTATATTTTAACGGATCTTGCGAGCTTTAAAATGAATAACTGTGCATTTTTTTTATTAAAAATAATATGCTTTATTTTTTAACCCATTAAAAATACGTCGCTGACGTGTCACGTAAAATGCAGATTGGGTGGAAATGTATTCGATATCGAACTAAAATTCTAATATGACTGAAAAATATAATTAATGTAGAAAATTTTTCATTGCGACAGTTTTATGTATTATATTGTCTTATAATGATTACAAAGTATTCAATTGCAAATTTGCTAAATAAAACATTGTTTAATAATTTAATAAGTTAATTCAACAATACTAGATAAACAATTAAATCTGAACAACCATGGGTAAGAGAAAATTCAGAAAAGTTTCCATAGCATGAGCTGGTAGCTGAAGTTGGCGGCCCCGAGGGCGGCGGCAGCCGGGGATGGGAATGCTGAAGGATGTTGGGGACGGGTTGGGGGGTGGGGGGTGGGGCGTGCGTGCGGGCCGGCCCTCTGCAGACCGCCGCTTCGTTGCAGGAAACTACTCGCGGTTGGCGTGCGAGATCCAGTTCGTACGGTCCATGGGCTACTACCTCATCCAGATCTACATCCCGTCGGGACTCATCGTCATCATCTCGTGGGTGAGCTTCTGGCTCAACCGCAACGCGACGCCCGCGCGAGTGGCGCTCGGCGTCACCACTGTGCTCACCATGACGACGCTCATGTCGTCTACGAACGCGGCGCTGCCCAAAATCTCCTACGTCAAGTCCATCGACGTGTACCTGGGCACCTGCTTCGTCATGGTGTTTGCGTCGCTGCTTGGCAAGTATTCTTTTCGCTCGCCAGCTGCTCCCTCATACTTTCTTCCATAATCGTTCCCCCTTTTAAGTCACATTACAATTTCTTCACAATTCTGTAGTTCTCGTAACATTTTATTATAGATTCAGATAGTAATGCAGATTTCACATAGATATCAAAGTAATGAGAAGTATTTATTTACTCTTTATTAATGAGAACATTGTGTAAGTGTGGGGGAAGACGGGAAACTATTTCTGACATCTCGTGGGGTATATCTATTGCAAATTGCACCTATTCCATATTGTAAGATACTGACTTATTGCAGTAAATTTTAAGTTTAAAACATTTATTCACATTAAATATCACAATGAAGTTGGATTTATGTAACAATAAGTGTACATTTGCAGGTTTGTGTGTTTTGATGAAAGAAAATACATCAAGAGCTTGTTGGTGGATTTTGTACTACTAAATATCATACTTGTTATTATCTTTTGTATATACCTCTGATGCATATTCCATTAACGTCATTATAGATAACGTAAACCATCAGAAAAACAATAAACTAGATTTTTTCTTATAATTATCGTTTTTAGATTGCAATACGTAATTTTCAGTCGTGTTTGATCTTAATGCGGAGAAAAATCACGTTCGTGACCAATTTCATTTTTTTTCTTAGAAAATATCCGGACAAAATAGTCTATTATAACATTTTTATTTGTCTAGGTTCCTGTTGTGAATGAAGGTCATCAGACATAGATGTAAGTTTCTATTGATGTCAATATTGCATCTCAAATGTTTGGTACCTATCATTCAACGAAATAATGAGATATGAAGAATAAAGTCGTTACCAGGTCTTCTGTGCTAGGATTTTTTCCATTCAAGAAATTAATATATGAGTTACTGGACCTTTTATTTTGATATTCTGCTGGTTTTTACACATTAATGCAATCTTGACGTTGTGCAGAGGTTTCTTAATTTACGTTTTCCTACCAGCTACAGGATAAATGTAAGAACATAATATGTTAGAGTTCGTTGATTTAACACGATATGCAACAGTGACGTTGCTTAAATTTTCACTGAATATATATATATTAAAATAAATATTAATTTCCATAAAACAAATTTATTAATATAAAAACCAAATAATCTTATTGAACATCTTCAGTTCTATTATAACATATACCTATTAGCACTTAATTTTCCCTAAATTGAATAATATAATGTTTTTGTTCTTCTAAATCGATTGGTTTCTATGAGCCCTTTATAATGCCAAAAATAGAATTACTGAGATCAGTTATCAATATGTTATCTTACAATACCTTGTATTATAAGACAATCAGGTCTGGCGTTTTGCTAACTTCTAGTGGGAACAACTGATTTGTTAACTGTGCTGTTCAACACACGTCATTAACGCATATCTTAACCAAACAATCCCTCCCCCCAGACCACTAACACACGTCTTAGTCTGACAATTGTTCTCACCAGTCAACTGAGATACTTCAGAACGAGACCTTGGCTTTGAGCAATATTACTAGTAGTAATAATTCTACATGAACATCTCAGTTGGATTTGCTTTTACATCAAGTTCACCCCCTCATATTCTTTCTCCTATTCATATACTCAAAACCTCTTTTAGATCATACCCAAATGCTTTTAATGTTTTCCCTTTCTCCTCAGTCTCCTTCGTCATTCTCTCCCACAAGTTTTACATCAACTACTTTTTTCTTTAGACCAATTTGTTTGTAAGCTTTTAATCCATTTCTTAAAATATTTGTAGCTTTAGTTCTGCTACCCGCCCCATCTCCTTTCCTTCTCAAAATCTCCATTAACACAATCAGGAGAAACATTTTATATATCATTATACCTTGTGTCTCTAATCAATTTCCAATATATATAATCTCTTACCAATATCTAACTGCTCCTGCATGTCCTATCCTTATCAGCTTCCAACACATGTTTGTCGCATTCTCTCTCACATCCATTCCAGCCAAATGTCTAAAAGTAATTCTAAAATAGTTCTCAAACTAACATATTTATACTGTTTCCTTTGTTACGCTTCCCCATCCACGCCTAACTAATAGAGTCACGCCTCCTCTCCACAATATCTTTTCGTTTCTCATTAGAATTTTTTGAGCTTCGAACTGCGCCTTCTTCTCGTCCATTTCCTTCCTTTATGAATATTACGAAAATATATACTTCGTATATCCTATTTCTGAAATCCCAATCCTATTTCTGCAATCCCAATCCTATCTCTCCAAACCCAATCATATATCTCCACGTCAATTTTGAATCTATGAGGCTCTTGAAAACCTACATACATGCCCTCATTCCCCTCAAGTATTTCTTTTATCCCCCCCATCAGCTTCATAGATACCATAAACGGTTTACACTTCTCCTCAACATGTTTCTCTCTGCTAGATGTCCTTTTAAACAAAATACCCAAACATTTACATTTATTAACCTTCTATGTCAACTTATCTCCCCATTTTCTCTTATCAAATTAACTCTTCCCATTCTTTCTTAGCCTCCACCACTTGACTTTACTGCAGAAGTCTACTTCAGTTCTAGTTGCCTGCAATCACATACCATTTCCCAACTCTTCCTCCCTTTGTGTCATAAATAGCAAACTGCATGCATAGGCCTATCACCGTGGATATTTTTCCAACTAACTTCTCCATCGTGACCTTGTCTCCGAGCTTCAATGTAAATAATAAACAGACTTTGGCTACCTAGGCATCTCTATCTTACACCTTTCTTAATAAAAAATTTTCCACTTCCCTTTTCAATTAATATCAGTTCTCAGTATATCTCCATATCATCGCGCAATATATTAGTTTACCTTTTGCTGCCATCTTACTAATAATATTTCATAAAACCTTTCTATCTATTTTACAGAGATAAGCTTAAACAAAACTTTCTTTCAAACTCCTTTCTCTTCATCCTTACAACATAATTCATAATATGCCGTTCTTCATTACCCTCATTCTTTTTTAAAACATGGTTAACGGATTTTAGTCTACGTTTTAACTTATTCCTAAATACCTTCAACCACATTTTATATAAAGCAATCGTCAATGTGATATCCCCGTAATTCTATGCCGTATTCTTATTTCCATTCTTATAAAACGCTATTACAATCCTTCTTTCAATTCCTTTGTATCACTTTACGATCTGTTACACTCTGAACAGTTTCTATGCCAGTCTTATATCTTCCTCCGAGAAAAGGGCGAAAATTCATTGGATATCGCAAAGTTCCTTCCCACTAAATTTTTTTTTACCTATCAGTCACCTTTCAAATATCCTACCTACTTATCCCTTCTGTCAAGTCCTAACATTATTTTTTCATTCGTTCCTTCTTTAAGTGTCTCTTTACTATTCTCATATTTTCTCTAACCTATCCCTTCTACTTCCACCCGAGCGTATATCTGTTTATGCATTCTTCAATTGAATCTTATACTCGTGGACATCTGTTTTCTCCTTCAAACATATCTTCAAACTCCTTTTTTGCTCACAAAACCACATTTTTCACTTTATTATTTTTCCAACTGTTTACAAATGCTGTTTACAAATTTCGTCTCTACATTTTTCATTTTAAAGCACTACATCCCACCATTTCCAATACACCTTCCAGACGTACTCAATACGCAACATTTTTCTTCACTACTATCTTTTCCACAATTTATTTTACTATCATAGTTCCTATCACGCTACTAGACTCTTTTTCCATTTAACATTCCTCTCCCAAAATATTTATTTTCTTCTTCTTCCACGCCTCCTTCCACTTGCTCCATCCTCGTCTTCTCTTCTTGTTCATTCAATAAATGGAACTTTTACAAGCAGATGGTGAGATTTAATCACACGGTCCTTTAATTATTTTCTAATCTTCATACACCATATTCACATAAATAATCGATCATATTCCCTTCCCTCCTACATTTTTTTCCCATCCCAATTCCTCTCCATATTACCATTAACAATATACCACCTTCCTTGTTTAGAACAGTTTTACATCCTACTTATATATATATCCCCGACCTTAGAATACCGATCTCTCTCATCCAAACTAAAACCAGGTTGTCACCTATCACCTTTATTCCCCGCTCTGGCATTAAAATACCCACTCAGTATGTGATGATTATTTCTCTGTCTTCTCTTAATCCATTGAAATATTTTTCTGCTCGAATTTTACACAAATTGTACAAAAATACCACACCTACCCATAAATTACTACCATCCTATTTCACACTCCTTTCTTTTCTTAATTTTATCTTCTTCTTCTTCGCCATCCTTCACCTTTTCAGTTTCTGTCGATACTTTCTTCATACCTGATAATATTCCCGTAGTTAACGTCTGGGTTACTTTTTAGTTTCCCGTTTATATACGGAGAAATATACGTAGTATACGGAAAGTTATGAAATGCTGCGTGAAAAAACGGTGAATTTTGGTCAGAAAAAATTTCATTGTCGATTCCTGATAACAAAAAAGTGGATAAATCCAACTTCTAAATTAAGAAAAAATCCTGTAACACGTAGTGTGGCCAGAATCCCTGTTTCGTGGGTCCTTGATACCGAAGAACCAATTGACGCCAAAACGTTCGTCTATCTGTCAGGCTGTGAAGACGATTAGCGCCTAAACCATTGTTACTTTTTTTCCAAAATGAATATTTCCCTGTCGATCTGACTCGACTGAAGGCGTCATGATTTTGAAAAACTTTCTTCAAAACTTGGGGTTACTTTTCTTGAAGAACCTCGAACATTTTCAAACTTTTATCAAAAAAGGCTCCAAACGTTTTCTTTAAATTTCTTGCAAGAATAGAGTAAAATACACTTATAAAGGTGGCATAGGTCCCATTTTAAACAGTTAACTCTGAATTTTCAAAAATTGCAAAAGTTCGTATTTTTTGTGGCGTCTTCCTACAACTACAACATTGAAGATAGAGACTTTTCTTTCAAATGAAATTTGCTCTTCATAGAGAGTTCTTTCATTCAGACCACGCACATTTTTTGCAATTTCTTAAAAAATAACAGAAATAATATTTCCTCAAAAGCGGCTGTAATTTTTTCTTCAATTTTTT